GCGCTTTTGTCGGCGTGCTTTTGTCGGCGCGCTTTAGGGCTAATTCGTCGCTCATTCGTCGCGCGGTTTTGTCACCGCGCTTTAGTCACCGTGGTTTAGTCAGGCGCGCTTTTGTTGTGCGCGCATTTGTGGTGGAACCGTCTTTTTCTCCTTGAGATGTGAAAATATTAAGAATTCTTGAAACTATCAGGCTTTGCTACGTAGCTGGACGATGCATCGACCGCATCCTGTTACAACACGGCAGCTTGGAGTGATGAAGGGAAAATTCACCTGGTGCCTGTGTGCCAGTTATGTCTTTGCGGGCCCATCTACCTTGTAGGGTTATGGTTGAGACTAATTAAATAAGAGGAGACAACCCTCCCCATGTAACCTTCATCTTTTTAACGGAAAAGCAGATTATTCTAGGAAAACCAACTTGGAAAAACCGAAATCTGGCGTAGTATAACCCAGTTTCTTTTGCTGCCCCCTCCAGGCGAAGTACTTGTAAAAAGCCCCATCCTTACCGTAGCTGTTCCCCTGTCAGAAGAACCTCAGCCATGCACTCCAGCTCAGCTGCCCTCTGTTGCAAGGTGCCCAAGCTATTTTCTTCCATTGCTGCAAACAGCCTGGCCAGAAACAAACACAGATACACACAGGTACAAAAAACAAAAGGAGAAGATGAAAGGCGCGCTGAAGATCATCTGGATGCCCCTTTCAGCATCCCAAAAGCTTGCAGATGCTCCTCTTTCAGCCTTCTGACTTTTAAGCTCAACCTTCACTGTCTATAACCCAGATCATCTTTAGGATGGTGTCAAAAGGATGCAAGCACCACCTCTGGGCAATCCGGAGCGGCGTCCTTGAACGGGAAGCTTAAGACTTCCAGGCGAGGCCTTGATGTGGCTTGGAAGGCAACCGGGCACATGGCTGCGTCTCCTCCCCTTGTCAACTTGCTTCTCCGGCCGCCTCCTCCCCGGAGCCTATTCTGCGCCTCCCCCCCCCCCCTTTTTTAAAAAAAATATTTCTAAAATTACCAATTCTTCTGGAGCAGAAACAAGGCTTTTTGCTCGATCGCTGGCGATCCTTGCAATTTTAAGCAAGCTTCTCAGCGCTTTCCTTCCCCTGGAAACCCCGAGAAGCGCTTCTCTGGGACACGCCGCTTCCTCGGCTGCGCTCACCCCACCCGCTGGACCCGGGCAGTGTCTCCAGTGCGGAGACACCCACCCAGCCACCCCCTTGCACTCCCGATGCGCGCAGCTCTCTGGATCCCTTGAGCTCGCATCGCCTCGGCCGCGGAAAGGCACGCCCCCCCCTCCCCAGCTGCAAAGGACAACAAAACCAAGCAGCCACCCACCCCATGCACTGGCCACCCCCCTCCCCCCAAAAAGACAACCTGACATTGGGCAAAGCGACGGGGGTTGGGTGGCCAACAAGGGGAGAATTCTAACCTGCGAGGTTGCCACCCACCCACCCTGTTTTTCAAGCGGACTCACCTGGCCCGGGAAAGTGGCGGCTTCCCCCAGGGCGATCCAAAGGGAGAAGAAGATTCCCCCGCAGGCTTCCTTGTTGTGGTGTGACAGGCAGGCTGCGAAGGACACGTGGTTGCAGCAAAGCGCAGCCTGGCCAGCAGCGTCCCCCTCCGTCCGGCCCGGCGGCGAGGGGCTTCGCTGGGGCCGAAGAAGGCATGCGCTCAGGAGCGGCGGCGGCGGTGGCGGTGGCACCGGGGAGCCAATTCGCCTCGAGGTCCGGGCGGGGAGGGGCGCTGGGAAGCATGGGGAGGAGGGAGGGAGAGAGGGAGGGGAGGAGGAGGAGGGCGGGTGGGAAACAATCGCGCCGCGGTTAGCAACACCTTCCGAGCCGCCGAAGCGGGCAAGTGACTGGAAGGGGGGTGTTTCTGAAGCGCGCCCCCTCCCCTCCCCTGCTTCAGTTTTTCCTGTTCTTCTCCTTCTTACAGTAAAGCAAATTACTGCCAACCTGCCTTCCATTGAGGACCTGTATCCTGCACGAGTCAAAAAGAGGGCTGACCCCTTTAAAGACCACTTGCATCCTGGACATAAATTGCTTCAACTCCTACCCTCAAAACGACGCTATAGAGCACTGCACACCAAGACAACTAGACACAAGGACAGTTTTTTCCCCCTCTGCTAAACAAATAATTCCCTCACCACCATCAAACCATTCACTAAGGCTGCACTACTATTACTATTAGTCTTCTCACCGTTCCCATCGCCCATCTCCTCCCACTTATGACTGCAGGACTGTAACTTTGTGGCTTGTATCCTTACGATTTATATTGATATTGTTTCCTGATTGCTTATTTGTACCCTATGACTATCATTAAGTGCTTTTTTACCTTATGATTCTTGACAAATATATCTTGTCTTTTTGTGTACATTGAGAGCACAGGCACCAAAGACAAATACCTTGTGTGTCCAATCACACTTGCCCAATAAATAATTCTATCTATCTTATCTATCTATCTATCTATCTATCTATCTATCATCTATCTATCTATCTATCTATCTATCTATCTATCTATCATCTATCTATCTATCTTATCTATCTTATCTATCTTATCTATCTTATCATCTNTTGGAAAAAATCTCCTTTTGTTTTTCTCACTTTACAAGGCTAATCCTATAAGGAAGGCAGGAAGGAAACATTCTGGTGTTGGTTCTAGCCTCATCTTTATTGCCCTGCTTATAGAAACTGCCTCTCTGGTTAACCCTTATTACATTGTAACAGTTATGGTAAAGTGGCCATCGACGTGAGTGATGTTGAGTTGGCCATGCCCAACCAGTCACATGACCACCGATCCCCACCTACCCAGATGGTCATCAGGGCAGAGAACCGGTTGTTTGAATTATTTGAATCCCACCACTGAAGAATGGAAGTACCAGAAGTCTGAAAATGAGCCCATTTTCAGCCTGTGGAGGGCCTCTGGGGCGCGGTGGAGGCCGTTTTCACCATCCCAGAGGCTGGGAAGGGAGACACCCACCCCCCCTGTGGTGCAGGAGGCTGAGTAGGTCATCGGCACGCCCACCCAGAAACCAGGCAGAGAACCAGTTGCTAACATTTTTCAATCCCACCCCTGTCCCAGCGGTTATTAAAGCAACTTCTGCCCACAATTCCATTCATCTCTTCTGATGCAAAGAGCAGTCATTCTCTTAACCAGAACAATTTTTCACCGGGCCCCAGAAAGAATGGAGGCAGAGCCACCAAAATGTAGCAGGGTATTGAAAAGGGAACAATCTTAGAGAAAGAATCCAGAGAAGAAATAGAAACATGGAAGAGAGAAACGGGAATGAGAAGACCTTTGCATTTTAGCCAGCAAACCCAACTGACTATTTCTCCACTAATTTTTTTTATGCAACCTTTATTATTTTTATAAATAAATCAAGATTTATTGGGCAGCATCTTCTTTCCCTCTCCTATTTCCTCCACAACAACAATCTTGGGAACTGAGTCGAACAGAAAAAGAGTGATTGGTTCAAAATCATCTAGCTGGCTTTCATGCCTAAGATGGGACTAAAACTCGCAGATTCCTGCTTTCTAGCCTGATGCTTCCTTAACCATGTGCTGATGATATCCAGCCATAAATTTGTACTCCAGACCAATTGGAAGATGTGATGGAAGCCTGGAATTGATCCCTGGAAGTGTTAGGAACTGTAGAATAGTACTTATCCCATCTACCACAGTAGTCCCTAAGGCATGAGTAGAGCTCAAAAGTTTCCTGGTGTCAAGCCTGGTATTGTAACCACTATAACAGTTGAAGAATAAAGTAACATATCCAATATGGTGGATTATGTAAAATNAGGTGGTTTCTATTTTTCTACTTGCATTTTTTACCTGCTTTCGAACTGCTAGGTTGGCAGAAGCTGGGACAAGTCACGGGAGCTCACTCCATTACGTGGCACTCGGGATTCGAACCTCTGAACTGCCGACCTTTCTGATCAACAAGCTCAGCATCTTAACCACCGAGCCACTGCGTCACTTGTAATATCATAGTAAAGCCATATAAATACGTAAATCGAAACATAGAAGAACAGAATGAAAAAAAAAAGGCATTCAAATCTACGAGTAAAAATTAAAATGCACCTGAGGCACGAAGATTAACCCCGCAATCCTGCGGTTGGAAGGGCAACATTGCTACCTATGTTGTCTAAAGGATTAGTCGTAGTAGCAGAAGTAATCCCTTCCAAGGTTGGGCCCCAGATTTTGTAAAATGTTAGTCTGAAACCGTCGACGTTAGTGTGTCTTGTAGGATGGGTTGTTACGGTACAAAAATTGCCCTGGGGTTTATTTTCAGTATTCTAGGTTTCAGAGGGCCTGAAACCGAAAGGATAAAACTCACAACTTTTGACTTTTTAAACACCCTGAAAAGATTTGTGTTTTTTGAAAAACTGGTTTAAGCTCCAGTGCTTTGGCCTGGTTTCCACTCTATTCCCTAAGTAGCTTTTCTGATTTTTAAAGATGAACGTCAAAAAAAATATATGGAGAGGGAGCAACTAATCCGAATGAATCTCATAGTTTAATGCAAAAAGAGATTTTAATGTGTGTGTGTTTTTCTAAAGCTGCTGGAATTGAGTTTTCTTTCGACTTTGCTGGAGAGTTTGACATTAAATGGGTTGGAAAGCAGATGGGAGAGAAAAAAAACGAAGCAAATTTTCGTGCTCCCTAAATTTTAACTCCACCGTGAGCATACCTGGGAGTAAAGACATTTTGCCAAAGAGCTGTGATGTGCACCAGCATAAATAAATATCTATATTTTATCTCCCTTTATACCATGCAGGAATAAATAAATTAAGCTTTCCCAGTGGTTTCCCATATCTTTGTGTCCCCGATACAATATCAAGCTTAAGTTTCAAAAACAGGAAATATGGAGTACTTTGAGCTTGGTGGTTTTCTTGCAGATGTTTCATCACCCAACTAGGTAACATCATCAGTTCTAGGAGGAGGAAGAGGAGGAGGAGGGGAGGAAGATGACTGTCAGGTCCTTAGTGCTCTCTGAGCTTGATGGTTTTCTTGCAGACGTTTCATTACCCAACTAGCTAACATCATCAGTGCTAGAAAGGAGTGGGATTTGCATTATATCCTCTACATAATAACATTAATGCAGAAGTCGAGGTGGTGCAGTGGTTAGGGTGCAGTACTGAAGGCCACTACAGCTGACTGTTATCTGCAGTTCAGCGGTTCTAATCTCACCGGCTCAAGGTTGACTCAGCCTTCCATCCTTCCGAGGTAGGTGAAATGAGGACCCGGATTGCTGACTCTGTAAACCACTT